CCCCGCGCCAGAAATCACACTGGGGCCCTCAACCACCCAAGGCCCCAGCTAAACAAAGACACTCTTAGGAGGCCGCACAGTCCAAGGGCGCATGCGCGACCGCCGGGGCCTAGGGCTGGCCTTGTGAGGGTCCTCTTGTGTCTGTCTGCCCCGCCCCCCCCCCCCGGCCCCGGCTCCTCCATACCGTTCTGGGCAGCGGTCTCTTCTAGCTGTTTCAGTTTCTGCACAGTTTCCCAGTCTGGGGAGGAGAAGAGGAGAGGAGTGAGGAAGGGTTTTTCAGGTGCCCCCCCCGACCCACACCCCACCTGCCAGCTGAAGATGGAGGCCTTGGGGAGGTGTGGGCCGGGGGCTCCCGGGGGTGGGTGGGAGGGGCATGGAAGGGGCCAGCAGAGTCAGGGTGGGGGACACGATGGGAGCGTTGGGTTCCAAGGAGCGTGTTGGGCTCCCCAGGATCTGAGACTGGGGGTCTGGGAGGGAACACGAGAGGGAGGCCACATGGGGCTGGGGGTGTCCTCACGCCACAAGAGAAGCAGAGTCAGCAGCCCAGCCCACAGCGCGGTGGTCACCAGCCCCAACAGCCCGAGCAGCGTCCCCCGCCCACAGCACTGCCGCCGCCTCCTGGAAAGCTTTGAGAACTCTGTTGGGAGGAGCGGGAACACCGAGGGGCTCAGGGTGAGGCTGGGCTCCAGCCCTGCCTGTCTCTGCATCACCCAGAGCCCCAAAGTCCCGGGAGCCTGTCCAGAGCCCGCACTGAAGCAAAGGGTCTCAGTGGACCCCCAGCCTCCTCTGCACACCTTCCCCACACACTGTCGTCTTTCACATCCATCAGCCCACCCCCCGACCTTTGTCTGTCCATCTGTGCATCTGTGCATCTCTGAGTCTGTCCCTCCACCTGTCCAGCCCAATGTCTGCTGCTCCTTCTGTCCCCACTCCAGCGGTCAGGGAGCCTAACTGGGGGCCAGGTCACTGTCCAGAGAGACAGACCCAGGGCCAGGAGCTGAGACCGCCTCCTCCATGGGCCCCCTCGTCAGATGGCCAACCCCCACCCAGCTCTCACCTGAGACCCTCCTCCCTCTTATGGGTTCAGTTACCCCCCCCACTAATGCTGGGTCCCCTTTCCCTGCCGACCCCCAGCCCTCGCCCTCATGCCTGTCCCCCACTCTGAGCCCCTCCCCTAAACACAGGACACCGGATCTCAGTTCTTCTCCCATATCCAAGCTCTTCCCCAGCCCTTTCCCCAGATGTTAGACCCCCCCAGGCCTCACCCCAACTCCTGGGCCACTGAAACCCTGCTTTGAGGCCCACAGTGGGCCCTGAGCCCCTCCCCTCACCCTGGCTGTGAGGATCCATCATGCTGATTTCCACTGGCTTCCAACTCTATCGGGCTCCCAGCGCCCCAGCTGGCGCTGTAGTTTTGTTGGGAGGGTGTTGAGTCACAGAAGGGAGGTGGCCCTGGCTTCCCTCTCCTGCCTGGCTCTGCGCCAGGGAGGCCAGTCAGGGCTCACCTCCCCCCATGCTGGTCCTTTCCTAGAAATTCACTTTTCTTCCCTGAGAGGGACCCAGGAGCCCCTCTCCTCTCCCGGGTGGAAGGCAGGAGGTCAGCGCACTCACTTTTGCCAGTATCAGCCCCAGAGAGCCCTCTCACCTGAGTATGAACTTTCCTCCATGGCAGCCCTGCTTGGGTTCTCCCAGGGACGGGGCACTCACCACCTACCAAGGCAGTCCAGCTGGGGCACGGTCGCAGCTCTGGCTGGGATCTGGGTTCTAACGAGGGGTAGGGGGAGGTGTCAGGCTGTGGTTCCTGGCACAGGACAGCAGTTGGACTTGAGGAGCCCAGTGACCACTGGCTGGTTTTGTTTAGCCCACGACCGGGAGTCAGTGTTTCTCCTGCTGCTGGTGTGGAGGGTCACAGGCCTGAGACCAGAGGTGGGGCGCCCCAGAGCCCATCACAGGCAAGGTATACAGCAGGTGGTCCATAAACCTGCACCTGTGTGATCTTAGCAAGTGACTGAACCTCGAAACCGATTTCCTCATCCATAAAATGACAGTATTAACACTACCTACACTGTAGGGTGGTGGTCCACTCTACGTGAACATGTAGAGTGCTTTGAGCAAGGCCTGGCATGTGGCAAGCACCAAAAATATCGTCGGTTCTTGTTACTGTTGCTGCCTGTGCAACCTCAGCTCAGGACTGAGCCTCAGTTTTCCCCTCTGTAAAATGGGAGTGATGGCGGTACCCAATTCGTGAGGCCGGGGTAGGATCAACTGAAATAATAATGTATATGAGGCTTTGGGCACGCTGCCGCACACAGTGGGTCTCCAGGTCCTCAACATTTGTCAAGCATCTACTCTGTGCCAGGTGCTGCTGGGAAATGCAGGAGACTGTCACCCAGGCCGCAGCGTCCTCCTCCATCAATGTGCCCAAGGCGTCTTTCCAGTCTTTTGAAAGCACTGATGACATGCCAAAGAGCGTAGGCTTTGGGGTCAGGCGAGTCTGGGGGTCATCAGCTGGCCTGCTTGTTTTGTGACTATGGGCAAGTTCCCCTCTCTGAGCCTCAGGGAAGCGGAGATGTGGGCTGCCAGGCTCTGATTAACAGCACCTCAAACAGAGTCTTTCGCTATCCTGGAGGGAGCCAGAGGTGTCACCATGCTGCGGCAGCAGAGACAGCTGGACATGCCTGAGCCCAAGGGGCTGAGACCTGGCATCTCCCTGGATGAGTGACTCAGTTTGCTCATCTGTAAACTGGGGATGAGGAACAGCACTGGCTCCATTGGACGCTCTGTCAATCTCAAGGCAGAGTGCTGGGGAAACCGAGGGACCGAGAGGGTAAGCAATTTGTCCACGTCACACAGGGGTGGACATGATCGTGATCAGCCCCCAGCTCACCTGCCAAGTGAGCTCAACTTTCTGCTCAGTCAAGCCAGTCGACTGCCTTTCACTTCCCCAAACTGGGTCGCTGCCCGCCTGGTGAGTCTGTCCGTGTCTGCCCACTGCCCCCTGCCCCCTGCCCCTGCCCTTCTGTCATTCAGACCTCTTCCCGGCATCCCTCGAGACTCAGCACAGAGGTCATTCCTTCCAGGAAGTCGATGTCCAGTTCCCACTGCCAGCTCCGACACACAAACACACACACACACACACACACACACACACGAGTCACATATGTGCACACACATTCGCTCATACTCACAGCCACACACTCAGAGGCACACCCACACAGACACACAGTTGCACAGTCCTACAGTCACACGCACTGCACACTCACGCACACTCACGTGAGTTTTGAGTGTGTTGCCGTCCTCTTGGTCTGTTGGGGCCGATGGGAGACGCTGACAGGGGCCACAGGCTGTGATGAGGAGTTTAATCTGGAGAGACAGTTTCTTCTGAAACACCCACAGCTTCTATTTTCACAGACCTAATTATGGGCTTGCCTAGACACGCATGGCTTCTTCTGATGCCCCCCACAACTTGGTAAAGTCCCTACTATTATTATCTCCACTTTTCAGGTGAGCAAATCGAGGTCCAGTGACGCTAAGCCATGTTCCCAAAGTGCTTTAGGATGTAAGTGGCAGAGTCAGGATTTGAACCAAAGTGACTTTGTGCTAAATCGTTATTCCACCAGGTCAGGGAAGAGGGAAGAAAAGAAAGGGAGGGAGGGAGGGAAGAAGAAGGAGAGAGAGAAAAAAGAAGGAAGGAGGGAGGAAGAGAGGGAAGAAACAGCAAGATCACGAGATAACGTGGGTTAGATATCAACAATTTGTTATATAGTTTAATTAAGTAGCAATATGTGCTGGGCACAGTCCTTGTGTCTTAGATGCATTAACACACTTAATATTCACCATCATCCTATGAGGTGGGTGCTTTTGTGATCCATGCTGCCTATGGATGAAGGATTTGAAGTACAGAGGACGTTAAGTACTTGCTCACGGTCACACAGCTCATAAATGGCAGAGCAGGAATTTGAACCCAGGCAGTGTGTGTCCTGAGTCTGCAGCCCTAACCACTATGCCACCTAAACTTGGACCCCTTGACACTTCAGGTACAGTGCTTCTCCTCCCTAAAATATGTCCCCTGGTCCTTAAGCCCTCCCCACTCTCAGCTGGGGGACGGCCATGCCGAATCCCCATTTCTGTATGGGCCGCCTCCCCACCCCAGGCTCGGTGCCCCGCCTCTCATTCTGGAAGATGCTCTCCTGTGCCCCTGTGTCCCACCTCGCAAACAGGACTGAGCCGGGCAAGCCACCAGATGGGGAGGGGTCTGGATGGAATGTCCCCTGGACCCTGAACTCCAGAACGGCAAGGACCGTACTGCCTTGTCTATCGCACTGTATCCCCAGCATGGGGACAGGCAGCCATCAGTCATGTCTATTGAATGAATGACTCTGGTGGGCTAAGGCTGCTCATTCTGGGCCCCCATATTTTTCTCTCAGCCTTGATCTGGGCTGGTTGTGGGGGCTT